AGTTATAAGACATTTCAGTGCTGTTAGAGATTTCTAAAGTAGATCAGTGGAGGCTTCACAGAAAAGTTGCATTTGACTTTGCCTTTGAGAGATAGAGGGATATTTATGTACAAGCAGACATGGAAGAAAAGGGAACACCATTTTAAAAGCAATATTAAAACAAAACTTAGCAGAGGTTCTCAACTTTTTATGTGTGCTGGAATCTGCTGGAGAATCATAAATAACAAATCCAAGACAGTAGTTACCTTTGCTGTGGGGACAAGGGACTATGATGACGGTAGGAAGGAGACTTCAACTGTATTGGTAAAACTCTATTTCTTCCGCTGAGTGGTACATACATCAGAAATATTTCCTACTATCATTTCAAAAATAAATCAGCATGAGAGGTTGTATAAAACGCAGGGTGTCCGGCATCAGTTCTGATTCAGTGGTCTTAGAATGGCCCTAAGCAATCTGCATTAACAAGCACCCCAGGTAATGCTTAGACAAGTGCTTCATGGACCACTCTGCAAAACACTGTGATAGCATTTTTTTCTCCAAAGGGAAAAAGAAAAATCAGTAGCACTGGTGCATAAAGCCCAGAGCTGAGCATCAGAATCCCTGAACCATATTCTCTGCCCTGCTTCAATTTGTACCTGAGTCTTTGCTAGCAGGTTAACTTCTTTGAAAACATTTTCCCAAACATAAAGCCACTTTTATAATCCTTGTTCAGCCTGGTAAGGATAAGTTAAATAATTTCTGGTGAAACTTTGGACGACTTTCCAGGAAATGGTTTTTAGACAAATAGCACCCTTTCCTTGAATCAAGTTCTCAGTGATCTGTTTCCAGTGGCAATTTTCATCTGGCCTGAAGCATGTAGCACAGAATAAAACACGGGTGCTGGTCTGAGTGTATTAAATTGTATCAATAATCTCCAGGGTGGTGGTTCTTACTTGGGTTGGGGAAAGGGAACACAGAATACACATCAGAGTCACTAGGGAGATTTTTCAAAATATGCCTTCCACCTTTTTCTGTGGATATCAGAATGGGAAAGTGTGAAATCCACATCATTTAAGCACTCCAGGTGATTCTGATACATTCTCTACTCTAGAAAGATTCTTGGCCTCCCTCAAGCAACCCGATCCAAGATCTTACACTTTGTCCTGCCAAGAAGTTCCTTATATTTACTTCTCACTTATTTCTTCTTTGTTTAGCTCTCACTGAAGATAGAGGATAATTCACAAGTATCTTGTGTATACATCCACAGGGGAATGTGAATAATGACCCCGTTCTCAGAGGCTGGGGGCCAGCTGGTTGGAAACCTCAGCATCCCCAGGGCTGAAATAATCTCCTGACCAGATGTTTCCTTCACCGGTTGGAGCAGGGCATGAAGGTCCCAGTGGAAGGTTCTTTGGACCCCAGGCTTGTCCAGCTGGATCAGCTGCAGGTGGAGCTAAATGGGCCCCAAGGGCCCCATCAGGTCACCTTGCTGAGCATGACTCAGTCAAGCAGATCTTTATTTCTTCCTGTCTCTCCCACTTCCCACCGCTCATCTCTGTGGGAAGCCGCCAAACTGGGGAATAAGAGTCAAGCAGGGGGAGGAGATAGTTCTTAATGGATACTCCGTCTCTTCAGTGGTTTGGGGTCTGGCAGAGATAAACCAGACCTGAAACAAATTGGCTCCTCCCCCTAATGTGTTTCGGTTAATGCACTAGCTGCCGAGAATCAGCCAGGCCTGGAGCAACAAAATCAATTCCCCTCAGTTGAACAACAAGTTTAAACTAAATCCCCCGCAGCTCTTTCTCTTGAGTCAGGCTTGGCTGTCTGCCACTAGTAGAGCCCATCTTTGAGGGGTCAGACCTGAGATCTCTAAAGAGCCTTAGGTAATAGTCATGTGCCAAAGGACTCCTAAAAAATATGATATATCCAAGCAGTTTTCACCATTCCTTCACATCTGATGCCACCTTAACAGGCATAAGTTTCTAAAATATAGGTGGTAATGACTATTAGTTGGTTGGTGTTACAGATATGGAAACTGGAAAACTGGTTGTCTGTCCAATATCATTCCCTTGTCCAATATCATCAGTCCCTTGTCCAATATAAGGGATAAACCTTATAGCATACCTTGAGTCTTGACTCTTTCCATGAGTACTGTCAAATGGCATTTTATTCTTGAATTTTTAAAATATATTTTATTGATTTTTTACAGAGAGGAAGGGAGAGAGATAGAGAGTCAGAAACATCGATGAGAGAGAAACATCGATCAGCTGCCTCCTGCACATCTCCCACTGGGGATGTGCCCGCAACCCAGGTACATGCCCCCGACCGGAATCGAACCCGGGACCCCCCAGTCCGCAGGCCGACGCTCTATCCACTGAGCCAAACCGGTTTCGGCTATTCTTGAATTTTAAAGACCCTCATCTCAGTGTAAATACTGTGACCATGCTCATATGAGCACGGGTCAATGAGGAATATAGAATGGCAGAATCATATGGGATGAAAAGGGCACTATTTTGACTCCCCCTATATGCACTCAGCCAAAGTTCTTCCCCACTCAGTCCATGAGTGTCTAAATCTCTATTTTACCTACCCACATCTCCCCTCAACAATTTCCTTTGAGTTTCTAGACCTAGGAGGTGGGCCCAACTAAAATATGTCACATAGAGAACCATAAGGGTTTTGTAAACGTCTCAGCCAAGCCCAAGATAGGATGCAAGCTTGGAGTAGGAGCCATTGTTAATTCTTGGAGTCTGATGGAGGTTATTGCTACTGAACTTCTGATTCCTACAAGTTAATACTTCCTCACCCTCTGCCAGAAATTCTTAGAAATGCAAGTGAGGCTAACTTGTCACTCTCAAGTCAGAAGAGAACTCAGGAAGTTAACCCCCTTGATGGAAGCCTGGAAAAAAGGAAAGGATGTGAATGAACCCAGCTCTCATTTGTCCATTTTATTCCAACATTCACTAGACATTGCCTTAGCATGTGTTCATTCTTTCTACAGTTCTTAAAAACCTTCTCTGTGCCTGGCACTGAGGTTGGTCCTAGAGCTATAAATATGAGTTTCAAGGACCACCCCTTACTCTTGACAGGTAAGTGAAAGGTGAACCTGCTTAAGGTTCATTTGTGATATCCAGGGAGCCCCTAAAGGGGATTAATTAAGTCATTGGCTTAGACTAGCTTTAGTAATTAGTTCTATACCATGGTTTTCAAGGGGAAGAAATAAACAATCTACTGACTTGCCAGTGTGGCCAGAAAACCATTAATAGCTATGAGTAAACAAATTCAGAGATAGGGGAGACTAGAATGTTAATTCAAATTTCAAACTTTTGCAATGAGTCTGAGTAAAGAGAGAACCTGAAAACATCACCTTAACTGTGATTCAACAAAAAGAATCTGGTGCTTTTCATAAGACAGTCAGGAAACCATGATACCTTAGCTCAGGGTTTCTCAACCTTGACATTATTGACATTTTAAGCCAGTTACTTCTTTGTTGCTGGAAATGGGGAGCTGTCTTATTCTTGTCCACTGTGGGGTATTTAACAGCATTCTTAGCCTTTACCTATTAGACGTCAGTAGCACCCTCTTCAAATTGTGATTACCAAAAATGTCTCAAAAATATTATTAGGTGTCTCAGGGAAAGGAGGTAAAAAAAAAATCAGCCCCAGTTGTGAATCACTTAGCTTATCACTACCATCTCATTCCAAGACCACCTGAACAAGTAATTGGGAAAAAAAAGGAAGAAAATTGGGATCTGGGCTATCTTGCTAGTGAACAAATTCAAGGAAAGAAAGGAAGTGAACACAGGAGAGGTCACTGTCATTTGCCCATGGTCACAGGGCAATTTAGTGGAAGAGCCAGAAGTGAGATCCAAATTTCTTGGCTACAGTCACTCACACTGTGTTGCTAATGGATATGAGAATGATAACAAATTAAATAATGATTTCAAAACTTGATGAAAAACAACCCACTTCAACAATAGCTCCTATCAGCACTTTGTCCCAGTGCCTCAACCAGGTGTAAAATATAGCTCACATATTCATACATATATTTGCCTGTGTAAAATTGCTTTTTCACCTTATACAATTCAAATTAAATTTCTCCCACTGCCTTCCTGCAGGTTGCCATTTTGTATTTGGTCTTTCCTAGCCCGTTCATACAATTCCAACATCCGTGGTTTACCTTCACTAATTTAGAGGGAGTTTGAATGAGGGAAAAGATAAATAGTATAAGACAGGGCCATAAAAAATCTAGATTGACTGTTAATGGCTACCAGACAGGGATAGCCTTATATGTGTGGGCCAAATAAGCATTTATCTACAGTCTGTTTGGTACCTAACATTTCACTATTAGATGTATTTCTTTGTTGAGGACTTTACATTAAACTCTTATTTGTAATTAGCACTTGTGTGTAGGTGTTTATTAGATCACTGTTCTCTGATATCAGAGCTTTTAAAAATCAAGTGTATTTTGAAGCAGTAATACTAGAATATATGTTGCTGCCCCTGGAAAGTAGACCTGGATAATATTCTTAAGTGGACACCCTGCAGGCAGAAGAAGGTGATAAAAATGGGGGCTAAAAAACACATATCAACTGCCTACTAACCAATTTCACTGTGAATAAAACCCTCATGTACTAGCAGATTACACTTTAGAGCAGCGGTTCTCAATCTGTGGGTCGAGGCCCCTTTGGGAGTCGAACGACCCTTTCACAGGGGTCGCCTAAGACCATCGGAAAACACATATATAATTACATATTGTTTTTGTGATTAATCACTATGCTTTAATTATGTTCAATTTGTAACAATGAAATTGGGGGCCACGACAACATGAGAAACTGTATTAAAGTGTCACGGCATTAAGAAGGTTGAGAACCACTGCTTTAGAGGGTCCTAGAGTATTTTAAATGATTCCTTTTTTGTAGCCTTAGAGATGGAAATAGAGGAGGTAACATTTCTCATTCCCTTTTCTCCCTGCCCCCACAATGATCCCCAACCTACCCAATCCCAGCAACACTGTCTTACCTCCCACGAACTGTGCTGCTCCCATGCAACGTCCCATCATTCTGGAGATAAGCTCCTCCATGCAGCAGCCCAGGACTGCAGTCATGGCCACCAGGAGCAGGAGAGCACAGCCAACACCTGTCACCACTGTGCACATCTGCCAGGCAAGGCTTGGGATGGCACTGAAGCTGGCATAGCGCCCACATTCTTCCACCATGATCAGACTGTGCCCCTCTCCCCGCACAGGGTAGTTGCACCTCCGGAATGTGCTGAATGACACTGGCTTCCCCAGCTGGGATCCAAAGAGCCAGTATGGCAGGAAGTAACTGGTAGAACTGGCCATAGCGGTAACAAGGGACAGGAAGGCCCAGAGGGTCCCCACCAGTGTCAGGCTGCTCCTCATGGTCCCAGGTTTCTCTGCGGGTATGGGGAGATGAGTTAGTTTTGGGTCACAGAATCAAATACAGAAAGTTATCATGTAGGCTCCATCAGTCTATTTTTCATCTGGCTGGCCAGTCCTGTGGCTCATTTATGTGTCACTTGGCTCTTGCTTTTGGATAAAATTATTCTCTCGAGGACCATTTGGGTCCTTATGGGCTTCTGCTTTCCAGCACTTTTTCCATCATTCCTTCCTTCCACCTGATTTAGAGTTCTGTGGTCTCTAGGCTACAATGAAAAAAGACGTAGAACTGAATTAGTGACTTTTCTGCCAACTCAAATGCAGCCTGATCTGACATCTTTTAACTCTTGACATCCAGCATGAAACGAGTGGCCAGAGGGGAGCCTAAATGAAACCCAGGCTGTCCCGAGAGACTTCAGCTTCCAGTTGAATGGCCTTTCTGGCTTGGAGGCCTGGAAGGCGGTGATATCTCAAGAGGGTCAGAAACCAAGTTGTTTTCAGTGAGAGAAGGACGAAGGAAAACAACTCACAGAGCCTGCTCTTAATACAAGGGAGAAGAGGGAAGAAAAGCTCACCATGGAGTTGCAAGATGTGTCCACTTGACCTAGGTAGAATGTCCGATAGTGCGTTCATGTTGGCTTTTCACAGGGATGCATCAGCCAGGTTGAAATGGGTAGAATAAAATAAAGGGTGCCTAATCACACACTATGCTTATCACTGAGTAATACCATTCAGTCATTTTGTCCCAAAATCAAAATGTGAGGCAACTTTCTAACCATTGAGGGTTGTTTAACTCTAGACTGATTACTAAGAAAAGCTACCTCTTCCTTTCCTTAATATAACCAAGAAAGCTTCTCATCTTTTATCAGGTGTCCCCTGCCTGGCAGCAAGAAGATGTAGTTACAGGGACCTTTCAAGGTGTCTTTGGAACAAGTTATCTCAGATTCAAGGTGCTAAGAGTCTTTTTAGATCTAATCTCCTCAGCCCAGCTCACAAATGGCTTTCACAGACCCATCTGTCAAACATCAGCCACTTTCCTCCCAATTCCATTAATCTGTCATTGCTTACTGGCTTGTTTCGCAATTAGGGCAGCCAGAGACCACACTAGATCTTGATGACAGCACTGTGAATGTCTCCAGCAGGTAAATGGTGGAGTATGTTTTAGAAGTTCCTCCATGTTTCATCATTACTGATTAAAGTTAGAGGTGGTGGAAGAGGGGTTCAAGGGTGGAAGACCCAAGGCAAGAAGAGTATAGGAACTGGCCTACGGGTCCAATCTGTGACAGTGAGGAGCAAGCAGCAATTGTACTCAGGGTCTCAGGACTGTTCCCAGTCATAATTTCAACCACCATCATATAGTGCCTGACACAGAGTAGGCACTCCAAGTAATGTTTATTTAATGAAACTCATTTCATAAAAGCATCCAATTTCCAGATTGGCTGGGACCTTAATGAATCACCTAATTCAACCTTCTTATTTTACATATGAAGGATTATGGCCCAGTAAAGGGGGAAATGATTTCTCCCAAGTCACAGAGTAAGTAGGCAAGCAATAACGCCAGAATAAGAAACCTGATCTGCAAATTTCTGGGCCAGTACTTTTCTACACACACACACCCATCACTTACAGATGGAATCACAGAAAGGAAGTGATTTACCCAAGGGTAAAGGGCTAGTGAGATACACAGGCCAGACCACAGCCCAGTTATTTGAGTCTTAGTATAATGTTCTATTTTCACTCCACTGCAATTCCTCTCCTGATACACATGTATTGTGTGCTATGTGTTTTGTGCTGCAAGGGAACAGAGATCATAAATTGCAGGTGCTTAGTTTGGAATGTTAGGCTTTGGGAAGAAAGTGCCCTGAGCTGGGCCCCTGGGAATGAGGCTTTGTGCCTGAGAATGGGGGGGAGGGCGGGGAATGAGAGAAAGATGTGATGAGGGATGGAAAGTCAACAGGAGGAGAAGTGAAACTCGTTATGAGTAATTGCTGCTAGAAAGCAAGTATGCTTGGCCACAACGAGGTAATGCCTCTGCTTGTTATAGTAGAGTTGGTAAGATTATGAAAAATGCAAGCAGCCCTCTGCTGTGGACTCACTTCCTGGTGAAAAAGCCCAGGCCAGAGAATGAGAGGAAACAAGCTGATAAACATCTGCGGCTGCATCATCACAGTCCCTTCCAAGTCCATTATTTCATTCGCTCTGTCCAACAATCTCCTTAGGTTGGTAAGAAAGGTATTAACCCCAATTTACAAATGATCAAGTTGAGGATCAGAAAGCTAAGAAACCTTCCTCCATATTCTCCCTCATGACCCCAAAAGTATTACAATTAAACGCTTCTATGATCTCTCATACAGAATTTCAAGAAAAAAAATGTTTAAGGGTGGGAAAAAATTAGAGGGGAAGACAGAGATGGTAAGAAATAGGAAGGCCACTTTCTCTAAGTAGTGTATAAAGCAACAGCACAAGAACATAAGTTGTTTCAAGCCCAGAAATTGTAGTCAGAACTAACCGCATATGTCCTCCATGACTGTCATCACCTGAAGATCAAAAGGCCCAGTATGACAACCAATAGAAGGGCAGAGAACTCAAGGAAGAGAAAGGAACTATATCAGTGAGTAGTACTTATACTATACTAGAAATAAAAGGAGGGGTTCTGACATAAGCTTATATCATCTGTGACAAATCAAGCTGTTTAAAAGACTACAATACTATTGATACTTTATGGTATAAAGAAGATGCACACACACACATATACAATGAAATATTATTCAGCAGTAAAAAAAAGAAGAAAATCTTGCCATTTGAAACAACATGCACAGACCTTGAGGGTATTATGCTAAGTGAAGTAAGTCAGACAGAGAAAGACAAATACCATATGATTTTACTTATAAAGGGTGTCCCAAAATTCATGCAAGAAGTAATTTTGATAGAAAACACAGGTTTATAATTAAAAATTGTACATTTTTTATTGATTCATAAAGTATACAGTATAGGGCAGTGATGGCGAACCTATGACACGCGTGTCAGAGGTGACACGCGAACTCATTTTTTTGGTTGATTTTTCTTTGTTAAATGGCATTTAAATATATAAAATAAATATCAAAAATATAAGTCTTTGTTTTACTATGGTTGCAAATATCAAAAAATTTCTATATGTGACACAGCACCAGAGTTAAGTTAGGGTTTTTCAAAATGCTGACACGCCGAGCTCAAAAGGTTCGCCATCACGGTGCTGTCCTCTCCTCTGTTTTTACTCTTTTTACTTATGCTCTCCCCTCTGTCTGAAGTGCCATGTCCCCTGCATGTCACCAGACTGACTCTTGCTCCTTTAAAAAGACTCAGCTCAGCCCCTACCCTCATTCCATCCCATCCCAGGCTAGGAGACTTCCCTGGAATCCCGAGTCCCTGCCTGAGTCACCGTCCCAGTACTTAACCCTTTGACTGGACTTGGTGATTTCTCCCACTACCAGGGGTGGGCAAACTTTTTGACTCGAGGGCCACAATGGGTTCTTAAACTGGACCGGAGGGCCGGAACAAAAGCATGGATGGAGTGAATCAATAAAAAATTTACAAATTTTAATTATAAACCTGTTTTCTATCAAAATTACTTCTTGCGTGAATTTTGAGACACCCTTTATGTACTTAAAAAATGAAAAAGCAAACCAAGACAGAACCAGACTCATAGATATTAGAGAAAAAAGTGATGGTTGTCACATGAGTCGGGGGTGGGAAGATGGGTGAAATAGGTGAAAGGAAATAAGAAGTACAAATTGCAGTTATAAAATAAGTCATGGGGATGTAATGTACAGCATAGGTAATATAGTCAATAATATCACAATAAGTGTGTACAGTGACAGATGGTTACTAGACATATTGTGGTGATTACTTTATAAGACATATAAATGTAGAGTCACTATGTTGTGCACCTGAAACTAATATCATATTGTATATCAAAATACTTTAATAAAAATGTTAGAACACTACCAACCACTGTCACCATAATTTTATTTTTTAAATGGTATTTTAAAGCCAAGATTTGGGAAGGCAGAATCACAAAATTCAGTTTAAATTAAATATATTTAGTTTTAGAAAAACTCATTGGCTCTCAAAATTTAAATTAAATATGTTCAACATTAAGAAAAACTCATTGTCCTTATTTCATTTAGGACTAGGATGACCAACCATTCCAGTTTGCCTGGGACTAAGGAGTTTCCTGGGATATGGGACTTCCAGTGATAAAACTAGGAATGTCCCAAACTTGGATGTCCCTCTAGGACTAGAGGGGTGGTGAACCAGCACCGCCCATGGACAGCAGGTTGAAAATCACTGTCACACTTGATTTCCTAATGTTCTCTCTGCAGGATTCAAGCAATACTAGTAAGAGTTAAAAGTGATCACAGAATTAAACAATGGAGGGATAAAGCCTATATATTTTGAATGTAAACCTTTGTGAATCATAGACTTGACCTTATGCAGTCAAGGAAGAGATCCAATGGCTCAGTGTTTTCTGAACACAAAATAAGCCCCTGCCCAGCTTCTTCTATGGCTGGATAGAGAAGCAATGGGCTGTGTGGAGTCTGTGCATGCTCATTGATACCTGTGTCAGATAGGAAAGTGCATTCAAGTAAATGCTTTTAGTTCCTGCATAATCTGCAATGGAGTAACTTCCCTTTGTCCCTCCAAAGCAATCCAAGTTTATTCACAGGAACTAGCTAAGTCTTTGCTCTCACATAAATAAAAATCACCCTGGCTGGTGTTGCTCAGTGGCTAGAGCCTAGGCACTGAAGGGTCTCAGGTTTGATTCCCAGTCAAGGGCATGTACTGTGTTGCAGATTCTATCTCAGGCCCCAGTTGGGGTGCATGGGGGAGGCAACCAATTGATCTGTCTCTCTCACATCAGTGTTTCTCCGTCTCTCTCTATCTCCCTTCCACCCTCCTTACCACTCTTTCTAAAAATCAATGGGGAAAAATATCCCCAGGAGAGGATTAACCAAAAAATAATAATTTAAAAAATCACAAATAATTCTATGCTTCTTTATATCTTTATTCTTCTTGTATATTTCATGTATGCAATAGCTTTGTTTCCATGTCCTAGAATGTCTAGCTACACTGGATTTCAGAAATCAGGAATTCACAATGTGGTTATGCTAATTGGCCCAGTAACAAGGTATTAATAGATTTGTTATTGACCCTCTCTCTTTGGTGTTACATGGTCCCTCATATATTAGTTTGTTCATCAACTAAATGGGTTACATGCCTGTTTCTG